AAACGAGAACTAACCATACGGCAAGCTGGAGGTGGGGATGCAGAAACTGACAGGTTAAAGAAAATGCAATGGTGATCTGAAATATAAACTTCATCAGGACAAACCCTGTCAGCATTTAGACTCAGGGTAAAAACAAGGTCTAGAGTGTGTAAAGCCGAAGGTGTCCATAAAGCTGGAGAAATTCATGGCAAAGAGATCGGAGGGATCATCAACGTGGATGTTAAAGTCACCAACAATCACCTGTCTGGACAGCTTCACAGTGGAGGATAGAAAGTCACTAAACTTGCTACGAGTCTTTTACAGCGCTTTGGAGGAATTTTGGCCCGCTCATCTTTGCAGCATTGCTGTAATTCAGCTTTATTTGAGGGTTTTCTAGCATGAACTGCCTTTTTAAGGTCATGCCATAGCATCTCAATAGGATGCTATGGCAGGACTTTGACTAGGCCACTCCAAAGTCTTCATTTTGTTGTTCTTCCACCATTCAGAGGTGGATTTGCTGGTGTGTTTTGGTAGCCACGCTCCATTGACAGCTCTTGGTTGTGGGCCGGGTTCTACCATTGTCTTTCAAATGATCTCTGCATGCTACTGGAAAATGAATGTGACATACTCTTGTTTCACTCTGTTGCATCATCCCACCCACCAGGCATATAGAGTGTCCTGATTGGCCCACAAAGCAGATAAAGCTCTGTGATTTGTTCACTAAGCAGATAGAGCACTATGATTGGCCCACCATTATGGATTAATCACAGCTCTTTACGTGTTTGAAACCCCTCTAGAGAGCTGTGATTGGCTAGCCAGAGTCCTGGTAGGAGCTGCAGAGGTTCCAATGGAGCATGCCTAGACCAAACTTTGAAAAGCAAGAATTTGGTCTAGTTCACTAGGCTAGTGTTTTGGGTCATTGTCCTGCTGCAGCACCCAAGATCGCTTCAGCTTTAGTTGACGAACAGTTGGCCGGACATTCTCCTTCAGGATGTTTTGGTAGACAGTAGAATTCATGGTTCCATTTATCAAAGCAAGCCTTCCAGTTCCTGAAGCAGCAGAACAACCTCAGACCATCACACTACCACCACCATATTTTACTGTTGGTATGATGTTCTTGGTCTGAAATGCTGTGTTACTTCTACGCCAGATGTAACGGGACATTTGCCTTCCAAAAAGTTCAACTTTTGTCCCACAAGGTATTTTCCCAAATGGTAAATGGCCTGTATTTGATATAGCGCCTTCTAAGCCCCCTTCAGACAGGCCATGAAAAACGGAAATGTTCAGGAATCTGTCCGTAAGACCTTTGTGTCTGAATACAAACATCCGGATAACCTTTTCCATAATTAAACCGGACGACACCCCTAGTAACAGGTCCGGACTTGTCACGGACAAGGTGGCTGCTTCAGACTAGTGAGGTCGAGTTCCGGACAGGGAGGAGAGGAAGGAGGAGGAGACCGGGGGACGCTGTGCGCACCTAGATAGCTCGTTCCTGTAGCATGCGGCGAACCATGGCAGCTCACCTCCTACGGTACCGTCTCCTAGACGCGCGACGGAGCGCTTCACACTGCTTCCAAGACTCCTTTTAACCATTGAGCTTCATCATCCAGGTCTCTTATGCGTCTTCGTGTGCGTAGAATTATGCTTAACATAAGTCCGATCAGTGAGAATAATTCTATCTCTTCTTCTGCCACGTTTGACTGAATGGCTTTGTTTGGGCAAATGACGCATGTACGCCCGCCACACTATATTTACGCCCCCCCAGACATCTGGAACTTTTCCCTGCTGTGTGAAGGCAGCCGAAAGGACAAGTTCAGGTACAAAAGTGGTGTGTCTGAAAACACAGTTCTGGTAAAAAAAAAAACGGACTGAATTGCCCACACATATTCCAGAATGTCAATCTGAAAAGGGCTCTAGAGCCCTGGAACCCCTCAAGGCGCTTTACAACACAATCAGTCATTCACCCATTCACACACTGGTGGTGATGAAGTACAATGTAGCCACAGCTGCCCCGGGGCGCACAGACAGAGGCGAGGCTGCCGAGCACTGGCGCCACCAGTCCCTCCGACCACCACCAGCAGGCAACGTGGGTTAAGTGTCTTGCCCAAGGACACAACGACAGCAACAGTCTGAGCAGGGCTCGAACCTGCAACCTTCCGATTACGGAAAGTCTTGACAATCATTGAGATGTTTCTTAGCAAAATTGAGACGAGTCCTAATGTTCTTTTTGCTAAGTTAACAGTGGTTTGCGTCTTGGAAATCTGCCATGGCGGCCATTTTTGCCCAGTCTCTTTCTTATGGTGGAGTCGTGAACGCTGGCCTTAATTGAGGCAAGTGAGGCCTGCAGTTCTTTAGAAGTTGTCCTTAGGGTCTTTTGTGACCTCTCGGATGAGTTGTCTCTGCGCTCTTGGGGTAATTTTGGTCGGCCGCCCACTCCTGGGAAGGTTCACCACTGTTCCATGTTGTTGCCATTTGTGGATAATGGCTCTCACTGTGGTTCGCTGGAGTCCCAAAGCTTTAGAAATGGCTTTATTACCTTTACCAGACTGATAGATCTCAATTACTTTTGTTCTCATTTGTTCTTAAATTTCTTTGGATCTTGGCATGATGTCTAGCTTTTGAGGTGCTTTTGGTCTACTTCTCTGTGTCAGGCAGCTCATATTTAAGTGATTTCTCGATTGAAACAGGTGTGGCAGTAATCAGGCTTGGGGGTGGCTACAGAAATTGAACTCAGGTATGAAACACCACATTTGGTTTTTTTGGGGGTGGGGGCGGGGTGGGGGGGGGGTGGGGGTGGGGGGGGCAATCTGGTCAGGATGCCTCCTGGATGCCTCCCCGGGGAGGTGTTTCGGGCATGTCCTGCCGGCAGGAGGCCCCCGGGTCGACCCAGAACACGTTGGAGAGGTTACATCTCAAATCTGGTCCGGTGAACGCCTTGGAGTCCTGCCGGAGGAGCTGGTGGAGAAGGCCGGGGAGAGGACGGTCTGGAGCTCCCTAGCTGGGATGCTGCCCCCGCGACCCGGACCCGGATAAGCGGAGGAAGACGACGACGATGAGGTCAGAGGCTTCCAGGACACTCCCAGTGTTATCACCAGATCTTGTTTATTTATGTGGAATTATCCTGAAAACAAATGACTCAGTATTTGATGTAAACAACACTTTGTGGATGTGGTAGGATGGCAGCAACTGTGTAATCTTGTAAGTTTCTTCCATCATCTTTATATTTTAGTTTTTAAATATTTTGTCTGTCAGCCTTAATGCTAAATCTGCAGGTTTGCTGCTTCACCTCTTGATGTTTCTGTGACAGATGATCCAAAACAGCTTCTCTGTCCTGAGGAGCTGGATGCACACAAATCTTGTTTCATTTATCCGTGCACATCACAGGCCAGGGCTTGATACTTAGCTGTGTTACAGTGCGCTGCTTTTGCTGAGGGATTATGACCCGTCTCTTCTACAGTGGGCTCTGTATTACCCTGAAGCCTGGCAGACCCATCCCAAGAGGCCGTTCTAGTACACCTTTGTCTGTGCCCGCTGTTGATTTACTCATTTACCACCCCCACACCCCTGCTGCTTGCTGTGGGTCCTTATGCTGGGAGGGATCAATACAAGCTTCTTTGCCTTTCTGCTGAGGGTCAGAAAATAAGGCACACACCCTCAGAAGGTTGGGTTTTAAACTTTTAAATCACACACACACACACACACACACACACACACACACACACACACACACACACACACACACACACACACACACACACACACACACACACACACACACACACACACACACACACACACACACACACACACACACACACACACACACACACACACACACACACACACACACACACGCCCTTAGAGTTTGTTAATATTCTCACCGGAGGTTTTTCCATAATTCAGGCCAACTGTATTGTGATGGGTTATTCAACATTCATGAACTCTAGATATCTTGAGAGGGAACTGATTACCAGACAAATGAAAGACTTCAATTATTCACCCCCCCAACTCACACACACGCACACATACACACACACACACACGTGACTGCAGCACATAGGTCTATCTTACAGGTTCTATACCTTCCTGTATCATCTGTAAGCTCTATTATTTAAAACCACTAAGATGGTTTGCTGTGTTCTCTTTTGTGAACATGATGCTCACAGCTACAAATACATGAAAAAATAAAACATACATTATTTATCTCTTGGAGGTCCACACGATGGGGAAGGATCTCAGAACCTAAATCCTCAAGTAAATGTCTTTAATATCCATACGTCTGCTTTGGCATTAAGTGTGTGCATAAGACGACACAAACCCATCCAGATATACACAATCAGACCCACACTCAGAGAGTCAGACACACACATAATAATACACACACAAGACGAAAACACTCCAGACTCTGGGCTCAGGGAGTTAACCAAGCGTGAGAACCCAGCCGATATTTCCTCACCTTTAAAATCAACCCATAATGACGATAGAATAGGCCTGCCTATGGAAATATCTCACGCTGATGTGCATGCACACACATACACACACACAGATACACAAGTAGAAAAACCCATGCATAAACACAGGCACAAAACAAAACACACCCACACACAGAACAAAGTGGAGTGTCTTTGCTAGTTGGCCCTTTAAGCAGTTTCTGAAATGGGAAATCAACCTAATGAGTCAGTAATAGTCAATGATAGATGGGTTAGGGCAGACTATCGCTGCCCCATACGCATGAAACTCAGCCCCAGGTGCATGCTCCTGTATGCCTGCATATGCGTTTAGGTCTTGAAAGGCCAGAAGGTGAATGGAAAACTACTCAAAGCTTTAGTTTCAGCCTGACCTTTTCTTTATCTGGTTTGTTCATTTAATAACCAACTAAGATCATCCTAACACAGGAAAGCTCAGAATAAAATCATCTAAAAATATTAAGAAACCTTTGCTTTTTTCATTTTTGGTATCTTAAAACAATCCGACTGATGGGACTGGATATAATCCACAGAGGATTTGTTTTTGCAACTCACCTGGAGGGGACCAAGCCAGAGAGACGGAGTGTGGACCTGAGAGTGTGATGTCATAGGGAAGAGGGATGCCAGTCGGGCAGGACACTGGTGTCTCCACAACATATTTGTCACTCACACCAGAACCACCCTCTGTACTGGCCTCCAGCTCATAAAAGTACCTGAAGAGAACAAGACAAGAAAACAATTAGAGGAGAAGCTGAAAATATGCAGAAATATACAAATAAAAGAGCAGAAATATGTTTAATCAGTTATTACCCAGTTAGAAATGACAATTATATCAGGCTCACCGTGACAAATTCTTTGCATGAAACATAAATTGATGCAGAAATTGTGGGACAATCTCTGTAGTGATTTAGCAATGACCGCAGAAGGAGTGGTGTACTCCACGGATATTAAATTCTGAGTGTGAAGAAAATGGGATGAGACTTAGCTCCTCCAAAATCTAAGGCCACACACACACACACACACACACACACACACACACACACACACACACACACACACACACACACACACACACACACACACACACACACACACACACACACACACACACACACACACACAGAGAAAAGGTGAAATCATCAAGTGGAGGAGTTTGCTCGACTCACGGGAGGCGACATTGCCTCTCCTCCATTCATTTTCAATGAGACATGCGCGACAAAGTGATAATCGCGGGTCTCCCTCCTACTAAGCGAAACGCGAAAAACGTGCATGTGAAATTTTGCGCTTGTGCACGTGTCGTGCACAGGCGACCCAGCGACGCGATCCCAGAAAGTTGAAACATTCTCAACTTTTCATCGCTGTCGCTCGGACGAGGACCAATCAACGGAGGTTTCATTCACTGACCAATGAGCGGACAGGATGCTCCGTACATCTCTGAGCAAACATGAAGGAGAAGTTGATTATTATTATGTTTTATAATAAAATCAGAAGTAAGATTTCACATAACTCTAGCAGCACCTTGTGAAACATCACATCTACCGCTTTATTAACTCTGAACCACTTAAATGTGATTTATATCTGTGAAAGGCGCTATATAAATAAACTTTTACTTTACTTTACTTACTTACTTTAAATAACCTTAATTCTCTCCAACCTGACACAGCCAAGCAAAACAACAAAAGTTTCGATTTCGCCATGGAACATAACGCGTAGACGGCTTTGCCGCTGGCCGCTGCCGCGGGTCACCTCCCGTGTGTCAGGTAATAAAAGCGGCAGCGACAAATTTCGCTGATCGCGGTCGTTTGTCGCCTCCCAAGGTGAGGCGAGGAGCTCTTTCATATAGGAGGAGGAGCAGAGCTGCTGATTCTCCTCATCAAAAGGAGTTACTTGAGGTGGTTTGGCTATCCGACTTGGATACACTCCAGGTCACTGTCCTCTGGAACGTTTCCAGGCACATCCTAGTGGGAAGAAAGTCCAGGGCAGACCCAGAACTTGCTGAAGGGATTATGTATCCAATTTGGCCTGAGAAAATGTTGGGATCCCCTAGAAGAGCTGGGAGGAGGAATATGCATATGGAATAATGCAGGAGGGAGAGGGTCCTTTTGGAATAACCAGGTCTGTGTGTGTGTCCTGCATCATTTTTCTGCCTTTTTCTATATAAAAGAAGTTAACTGGAACAAACGAGTCATAGTCATTACTGGAGTATAACTGTATTAAAGTTAAATGTGTGTACCAAACAACCCTACCCGGGAATAAAGAACGGTCTGGGGTTCCTCTATGGATCCAGATCTAACACTCTGCATTCCAACATTAAACAAAGTGAGGAAAATGAATGAACCCCTGAAAATGTAACATGCTAACTTCAGCCTGTTGATTCTGAGATGTAGATGTCAAATTTTGTGGTTTTCTAAAACAATTCATGGTATAACGATGAGCTATGCGGCGGGGTCAGTTTCTGAAAAACCAATGTCTGCATGCTCAAACAGTAACCCCACTTTAATTTCTCCTTTTTTCCCTCTGCTGTTCACCTTTCCCTCTCTCTCTCAAACATCTCGCTGCCTCTCTCTCCACCTCTCCTGCCCATGACATCATAAGATAGATTTCCCATTTAAGAGCATGTGGCTGTTTGGTGCTAAGTCCTACATTAACTGTGTAAGTGGGCCACCATTTAACATTAAAAGCCTTTAATTTGCTATAAACCCGGGCACACATGCATTAATAGGCCGTGATGTTGGGTTATTGTTCATGTGCGGAGCCTTTTAAACAGGAGGCCATTAGCGCTTCTGCACTGGGTTAGAACGCACTCACAGAAACGTATTTTACTCTGATAGACACACGAGTGTGGATATGCACATAAAAAACATAAATAAGTGTGCTTCAATAGGACACGAGCCAAGCAGAGAAAGAGACAAATGATTAGAGGAGAGAACGAAGAGGAGTCCGAGTGTGATGGAGAGGATGAGCTTTATGGTGGCATATGGTTTCAGAGGGAGAGGGAAGTTAAGCACTTCATCACTGGAAGATATTTGCCTAAATGTAAACACCGCCTTGGGATATCAAAGGTAAAATCGCGTGTGTGTATTAGGTAATCGGTGAGTGGAGCATTTGCATCTGTTTGACTGGGAATGTGGTGTGTGTGTGTGTGTGTGTGTGTCCATCCTGTGGGGGCAGCCAGAGGGAATAGGTTAATTCTCTCATCATCTTAGACACTTCCTGGGCTGCCGAAGCAAAGTGACAGCTAATCAACATTGTCATAAATAATCAATGGCCACTTTGAGCGGTCCCATGCACAAACACGCACACACGCAGAAAGCAACGCCAACGTGTGCCCTCGCACGCACACACACAAGTCTGCTTGGATAATGGGGCCAATGCTCCCTGTGTAATTCTTGGCGCAGGGCTAAATTGGGAAAAGAAGGGAAAGAGGCAGAGAATGAGGCAAAGGAGGGGAGAGGGCAGAGGATGGAAAAGAGAGTAGGAGGTGTAGAAGACGAGCGATAGGAAGTGAAGAGTCCCGGGCAGGAATGCCTTCTGGCAGACTATCTGGAATTAAGGAAAATTAAACGTCACACACACACACACACACACACACACACACACAGTCCGATCTCCTTGCTACCATCCTTTTTCTTTCAGTCAAACAAGGGGGTGGGGGGGTTGAAGTACTGCAGGATGAATTCTATTTGGCGTACAGAAGAATTGTCTCATGAGAAAGGAGGCTGAGGAGGAGAGGACAGGCGATTTTACTCTTTTCATAATTAAAACAGAAAATCCATTCTGGGGGGAGAAAGCTGGGATTAATAAAGGTTAAATGAAAATAAACAAATAAAATCTACGCTCTACTGCTGTCTGCAAGCAAAAGCCAGATCTGATTGGTGATTTTAATTTGCAGGCGTGGTGATGTTTGCATCTGCCATTGGTATGTCAAATATTTGCTCATTAAACGGCACAAACAGACATGTACAGAGAGCAGAGTCACATGGGATGAGGGGTGATGGGAACGATTCTACAACGGGGTGACCCCAACACACACACACACACACACACACACACACACACACACACACACACACACACACACACACACACACACACACAAGTTTGTTAACATCGAAGTTTTTAAAGTAACGTCAACCTAAGAAATAATTTTATTGTTGCGGCTTCACCTTTGTTTAGGCAGCAGCCCGATGTCGGTGTAACTCTGGTCTTCGTGGTCTCCAGTGAAAACAGTGAAACCATCTCTAATAAGCCTGTACTGGACGATGTATCCATTAGGCTGGGATGGTTGGTCCCAGTACAGTTCAACTGCTGACGTGTTTATTATCAGGTGTCTTGGGCTCGACCACACACCTGAGTTAGACCAGAATGCAGGAAAAGAAGAAAATGAGTATTTCTACTATGATGAACTGCATCAGCAGACTTCTGTTTTTCGTAAGCAAACTGCTGACAGTGATGCCTAAAAAGAAAAACGACAACAAAAAAAGTCTAAAAGGGATCTTTATACTGAATAGAATAAAAATCGTCTATTTGACAGAAAGTGAGAGCAAAAGAGAAATAATTCCCAAGATGAAAATTAGGCCACCACATTAAACAAAATAAACATTTTCATAAAAAAGAAGAGGAAGCTGCAAAATTTAAACTAGTTGTCTTTAGCAATAATACAAGCATTAAGTGTGTAATCTAAATTTGGTTATAGATAGAATGTCACACAAAAGTTGATGAATCAGACAGGGCAAGTGACGTGAGGGGAGAATGTAGAAGAAAAAGTATGTACTGTATTTAGGCAAAAAGTGAGGGCTCAAAAAGTGCATAAAGAAAGCAAATATTACACTGAATTGCTTTTTAACCAAACACGAGATGGGTGCACATTCAACTTGTGAGGAAGGAAAAAGCGATGAATGGAAGTAATCGTATAATCAGTCAAAAATATTAAGTTCAACCCTTCTGTAGTAAAAAGTGAGGAAGCCGAGATGGAGAGGAAGATGCTTGGAGGAAAAAAAAGAGGAAAATATTAAAACAGAATAGACAAAAAAGTATGAAGAAAAATATTACAACAGGATTTTGGGGTATTATCTATTAAAATGCACCCATGAGCATAATGAATTACATTTTAAAATCAGATTTCTTGTGCAAATATATTTGTTAATTTATTCTTTAATCTTGATATATACTAAACATTATGAAGATAGGGTCTAAAGAGAATACGTGCGTTTGTGTGTGTGTGTGAGAGAGAGAGAGAGAGTGTATACCAGCAGGCGAGGCTTGCATGGTGCGTCCTGTGGATGACTCGCTGGCTCCACATCCAACAGACGTACAGGCGACCAGCACAAATCTGTAGTCTGTAAACGGCTGCAAACCTGTAGCACACACACACACGCACGCACGCACGCACGCACGCACGCACGCACACACGCACACACACACACACGCACACACACACACACACACACACACACACACACACACACACACACACACACACACACACACACACACACACACACACACACACACACACACACACAAGAAAAACTTCAAATAAACAAGAGAATGAACCATATTATTCAAACATCTGCATGATTTCTGTTCCGTTTTATGTATAAAGTGTCTGAACGTTGAAAATAATGAGTTGGACGAGTACATATATATGATTCTGCGACAGAGGATGAAACAGAAACCTTAAAATCTAACAAGAGAAAAAAAGGGCCCAAAAAGTGAAAGATGCAGAAAAAAAGGCCGCCCTGCCTTTCTTGTTCCCTCAGCTTCTTCCGTACCCTCTCTCAACGGATGGATCCATATCTGTCTGTGTTAAATTATGCATGCCATAACTCAATAATGAAACAACGTAAAGATGGGCAGCCGTGGAACTGACATGAGATGGGACTGGCCCAACACTGTAATGTCATCAGCTTTTGATCTATGATAATTATGATACCTCTGTATGCATTTAGGCTACAGTGTCCAGACATGATTTATTTATAGGCACCCGCTATGCAGACTAAAAAAAAACACACTGACTGAACACTCCCTTTAGTGCAACCAAAATAAATAAGCTTTTATTGCAGGCTTTCAACCCAGAAAGTCATTAAAGATGCAACAAATGGCTAAAACATTTGTTTTAATTGTTTAGAATTTTTAGAAATAGCATTTTCAACTCAGATGAACAGATGATATGCCTCCTTTGATGTGAGGCAAACCTATGAGGATATATGCAAATCTTAAGAGCTGTCACCAGAGTGAGACAGGTATTTTATGGTCATTCACTTAACTGATGGCGTACAGCAGTTTGCAAATCAAATTCACAGAAAAAAATGAAATAAAATAAATCTCTTGACATGTCAAAAAGATGGCAGAATAATAGTGTGTGAATTTTTTCTGTTTCAGCTTCTGTCTGTTCTACAACAATGGCTACACCAGAAGGATTCACCTCAACATAAATATTAGATCCTAACATGGTTTTAGTTTAGTTTTAAATACAATTAATGCTATAAGAATTTATTTACTGCAAAATAAAAAAAATAGAATATAATGTTTGCAAAATTGTGGATGTATCAAATTTTCTATACACACCATTTTACTGAAGTAACCAGATGTGACTGTTTTAAGACAATTTAAAATATCTTGGAGGCTGAGAGAAAAACAGGCTTAAATCTCAGCTGCTGTGGGCACGGTAAATTAACCCCACCCTGTAGACACACAGTAGAGAGCACGTGCACTAATACACACACACACACACACACACACACACACACACACACACACACACACACACACACACACACACACACACACACACACACACACACACACTAATGCACAATGGAATCGTTCACCAGATCCTCCTTGTGTCACTTTCTACTGCTTAGCCTGCTTAACATACCTCACAGTCGGCCGTGTTTAGCCCAACCTTTAAACAATGTGTGTGTTTGCGTGTGTGCACTACCCTGTGTTAGGGTTAAATAAAGGAAATCTGCCAAGCATATTAAAGTACTGAGGTTGAAATGTAAAGCTCTGTTACTCTCTATCTGTGAAACTAAGCATGTATATGAGCGTGTGAGCTATGCCACAGTGGAATGTCATTTGTTGCAACACTGCATACAGCAGCAACCCGTTCTGAGTGTGTGTGTGTGTGTGTGTGTGTGTGTGTGTGTGTGTGTGTGTGTGTGTGTGTGTGTGTGTGTGTGTAAAACGGAACCAGAATGGGGACAACGAATTAGAAAAAAGGCCCAAGCAGGGAAGTTCACCCTGAAACGAGGACAACTAAAAGCAGATTTAGAGTTCATGTAAAAAAATAAAAAGGTAAATATGTTTTATTTTTTACAAAGGACTAAATACTCCATTTAAGTGTTTCTAATCAATGACAGGTCACACAGATGGATTGATCAGTGAACATTTTCTAATTCTTCCTGTCAAACCTTTCCCTGTTTAGAATGAAAATCACCTGACTTCTTAGCTGTGTTCGCTATTTTAAACATAAATGATGTAAAGAACAAATAATTTTTGTTGAAAAAATGTTTGAACATCTTTAATATTCCTTAAAGGCTTTTCAGAGATTTTTAAACACTCATCCTGAAGAGGGCAGTGTTGGTCTGCTAGAGAAGTGACACCTTAAAGAACGTGTGTGTGTGTGTGTGCGCGCGCGTGTATAAGTGCGCTCATGTATGCGAGAGTGTGAGCACAGAAAGATAAAGCGCCTGTGTAAAAGTCAACCTGCATCCAGTTGCATGCTTGCATGTTTGAATGTGAAAAGCCAGAAGCTCCAATCACTTAAAGAGAAAACTAGATGATAGAGGTTTAAATGTGAACACCTCACATGAAGGGGGACACATCTGTCACTGTCACCATAACAGCTGGACACAGAGATCAGTATGTTTGTTGTGTAAGTAAAAGAAACAAATAGAAAAAGAGGGATTCTGCCTTCGAGTCAGAGGAGAAGTTGGTTCTGGTCTGGTAAATGAAAAGAAAGCAAAAATGTTGGTCTGCAGCAGGTAAAAGAACAGATTTAAAATGGCATTTTATTGACAGGTTGCCATTCCCAGTTTGCATTTGAGAATATGAGAGCATGATAGGCACAAACCACAATATCAATGCCGTCATCTGATACAGTGAAAGAGACGGCAAGTGCAAGACAAGGGAAGAGAAAAACTGCTAGTTAGGAGAATAAAAGAGGTTAGAAATGTGAGAACAGACGAGAAAAACAACTGGAAAAATAATTACGATGAGAAAAGAAAAGCTACACCATCATCTGCCTGAAAATGAGAGAGAAGGGATGAACAAGGAACAAGTAAGGAGAGAAAAAGAAACAAATGAGAGAAGAAAGCTTTAATAACATCTTTTAAATAATTAAAAGTTTGACTTCCTGTCTGTGGCTTCTAATGCAAAGACTGTCTGGGATGAACGATGAGATCAGGTTCTCCTTCTCTCTCTCTCACACACACACACACGCACGTACGCACGCACGCATGCACGCACGCACACACACACACACACAAGGGGAAGAGAGAGGGAAACACCATCACACCCACGCAGAAATCTTTAAACATGCAAAACCTTTACATGCTGTTAAAATGTACTGATGAGTACCTGTCCAGAGTTAATATACATTTATGAAGAATCGCACACATTTAGCGACCACCATTTTTTACAGATGTATTATTTACATTGAAGGGAAAGAGTGACTTGCTAAAAAATACAATTGAGCTAAACTTAAATATGACAGTTCTTTATTTAACTGATTATATATTCTGAAATCTGTGCCTGGTGGCATTAACTATAATTTGTGACAATGATCTGTTTACGGTCCTTTTATATTATGTTTGTATTTTTTTAAATGTATTTTTTAGCAAAGAGACTCTTGAAACACAAATTCTCACCGACAGGAGCTGGTCAAGCCAAGCTCACTGAACACCTTTAACCCTTGCCTAAGCAGCACCAAATTACTATTCACACATACAGTAAAAGTAAAACACCCCCGCCAAAAAACTAAAAACAAAACATGTCAAGTAATCAAACCGATCAATGAAACAAACAAGGGGTGCTTGGGGTGTCAAATATACCAAAATATTGGTGCCATCTCCAACCTACATTTCTACAAAGAAACAGTTCCTTCTGAGAACAGCAGGTTTAACGGGTCATAAGCTTAGACACACCCCTTCAATTTGTATGTCCCAACCCACTCCACCATCAACAATATATACATTTGGTGGTGGTAATGCTAGCCGCAGCTACTGCTGATGTTTTGGTGTAAGTGCCAGATGTGCTTGGGCTGATTATGTCACACTACATAATTGGATGGATGATGGCATACTGATGTAGAAAAGTTTGGTTGGTTCCAACAAATTATGGAAGTTACATTGTCACATTAATGCTGGTCTGGAAAAATTGTATGAGTTACGTTGGCGTGTAATGTGCTTAGGTAGCCAGATTATGGTAACATTTCTGTAGAAAACATGAGCAACTTTTACGAAGAAACAGATATCCGGTAAATAAACCCATACTTTTCACCATGAAGAAATAAAATATGCTGCTGTAGTGTGATACTGATTTTAGTGCTCAGCTGGTTAAAAAATAGGGCACAGTGTAATTGGTTTGAGTGTGCGTGGCAAACCAGCTTTTCCATTGTAGAGTTTTATTATGGGGTTCTCAATTTATTAGGGCTCCTGGGCCATTTTGAGCCCCAACAAAGTTTTATTTGTTAAACAGTGGCTTTCCATTTTTTAAATGAAGTTGCTGTAGGACCCCTATATTTTCCCCTCTTTAATCAAAACTGTGATGTGAACAAATGCACGGATCAAAAGGGCGTGTTCTAACTGTATAGAGTTTACATAAAATGGACTTGGAACATTCTGCCTAGTTCTACTCTTGTACAGGATCTAGAACAGCAAAATTTTGTTAAAGATGGATGAAAGACTGACCCATCAGACTGAGAATAACAACATCCCAGTCCCTCGCTTCTTCTTTTCTAGTATCTAACTGCCTTTACCTTTGATAGGAACCAGTGGGCTACGGTGGAGCTGCATTAATAAATAAAAGAACATACTCTATTCCCTGCTGTTCTGAATTAATAATGAGCCTACAAAAGACCAATTAAACACATGATTAATGTCATAATCTATATAATTGCAGGCAATAATTCATTGTGAGCTAATGATAGCAATACTTAATATTGATTCACATGGGGTGTCTCTGTGCAGTAGTGCTTAATTCTCCCTATGAAGTGCCACTTTTCAGAACTGCTAAAAATGCTATTAGTAAGAGTCTATTTCCTGAGGCAAAGAGCTAATAAACAGGGAAAAGTAGGAACTGATTTTCAGATTACTGCAACTCAAAGCTTCTGCTTGTGTTTTAAGCTTATTAT